GCTGTCCAAGAAATTCTTGGCATACGTGCATGTGAAGAACCCTGTTCTTGACGTGAGCGACTTCAAAGCATACGTCAAGGATACAGTAGAAAATGGTCCTCGATGGGATGGACCTTCTTGTCTAGTGGTGAGTTCTCGGGCTGTTCTTTGATTATCATGACCTTTCCCATGCTGACGAAGCTTTTCAATGAGCTGATTGCATGTGCACTCGCCTGCCTTGCAAGCCCATTCCAATCCGAGATTAATTTCAATAGTACGCCCGAATCGATGCGCTCGTCAGTATCGACCACGACGGATCCAGATACGGCCCAGGCCTACTACCTCGCAGCCAAGAAGCGGCTGGGACTACTTGAACCTTCCTTGCTTCAGATACAATGCTTGTTCTTCTGTGCAGTTTTCGAGATGTACTCACTCCGTCCACTTCAGGGCTGGTTCTATTTCAACCAAGCCAGCGTACAATTCAAGAACTTATTCTGGCGGAGGGCCCAGAGGCGGAACTGGCAAAGGGTTTCTCAGAAGACGCGGCGCCTCGAGCAACGCCTTTACTGGTCGTGCATGAAGTCAGAATGGTAAGTCCACCAGGAATTTCTCTTTCTAGCTTGAAGGAAAACTCGGCTGACTCTCGAGACTCAGCGAGCTCAGATGTGAGATACCGTTGCCACCGAGTGGCATCACTGGTCTAGGATATCCAGACTTGTTCCCCTCACCTCCGTCTGAAGTTGCATCTCCTGCAGCGCAGCCAAGCGCGTTAGACATCTTAGAGGATGATATTCAGCCAGAGGAGGAGAAGAGTTGGTTCTACTACCTGGCTGAGATATCATCGAGGAGGATGATCAATCGTGCTATATCGATATTTGGTTATAATGGAGAGCAGGCATGGATCCGAGATATAGCCAAAGTGCTCGAGAAGAGCGAGGAATTTGACGAGCACATCAACCTCTGGTAAGAACCTCCTCATCTCCCAGCGCGGGTTCGTGTTTGGCCCGAAACGTTCGCTAATGCATGCTCAGGTGCTTGCACATACCCTCTCAGATCCATTGGCAAAACCGAGAGCCATCAAACAATGAGCTGGTACACTTTATCCAAAACCGAGCCACGAGTTGCCGCGAATGGATCCATCGGCCTTTCTTGTACTATGTCGTTCACCAACCGGCGGACGACCCTTGGATACCCCGCGTCATGCCATTAGCAGAGAAGTGCCTCGAGCTCTCACTCGAGCTACTGCTGGACGCTAATCCTCACCACCGCCATCACGGAACATGGTTCATGGCCAGAGCGGCAATGACCCGTGCTCTCTTACTTCTGGCCGCAGTCAAGAGCGGCAGGTTCTCTCGGCTACCCGAGCGATGGAAACAGGGAGTCGACGCGGCCACATGGGCTCTGCAGCGGTGGTATGGCGAAGCTCCGGATTTGCGTAAGGCTGCGTCTGTGCTTGAGGATCTTGTTGGTCAAGTTGTCGGGCCCGGAGTCTGAAAGAGTCCGTGGGGGGCTGCGAATGGAGCGGTCCGACGCCAGTACTTGTCAGGCGTCGTAATGGATTGTCAGTCAATTAAGCGTTCTTTGGGCCCTTATCAGCCCGAACTCGACTTAGCACTCGGACATGTGAAGAGAGGGTCCGCAGGTCCTTGTCGTTCTCGCCCTTGGTAGGACGAGAAGTAAAAAGCGAATAGGCGAGCAAAGAGCAGAGAAGGCCCTAAGCCCTTGTACTTACTTTTTGTTACTTCGGAGAAACACTTGAGCGCTTTGACTTTGGCATCAGTCCGTGGGGCTTCTGACTGAAGGGTAATGCGCCTTGAATCGCTTTGCTGGGCAGTCTTCCGTAGAGCTGTACCCGTAACTTAACAGCTCCTCTTGTTCGATCTGAATTACAATTGTAAGTGAAAAGCGAGGCCATGGAACGATCTTGGAGTTGTATCGATATGTTGTTGGCTCATGGCGACCACGGCTTTTGTCGGCTGATTGTTAGTGGTGTTGGAGGTCAAGGCGTCTCTCTTTGGGCCAAAGTCTGCAGAGAACACTAGACTCAAAGGCGAATGATCAAGGAACTGAACTTTCACCAAGCTGCAGCTAATGCTCAACTTCCTTTGGAGAAACGTACATCAAGTCCATGTATTGTCAAAGACCTCGGCGTGGGGGCTTTCTGTGGCTAATGAACACCCCAAAAGAAGTTTTCTCCTTTTATTGTTCTCTTCAGGACATTCGCCGGGACAAAAATGGCAGAATGCAGCGTTAGCTTGAGGCCCCTTGACGCCATCATCCAGTCACGTCCTGCATTTGCGCTTCCTCTTGTGTTCTCCTAGTAGTGTCTTAGTTTGCAGGGCGCATGCCACTCCCTCCCCCTTCCACCATGTGATTATCTGAGACCCTTGAGCGAGCTCTCGCCCTCCATCAGTTAGCCCCAGGGGGCCACGTGTGGCTGGTGCTTACCATCGTCATCCATGCAAGCCTTTTTCAATTTGGATCTTGGTCTCCAGGGCCTCCCTCGCACTGCTTCGGTTGCATCCCGCTATCGCGCATCGTTTAAACTTCTTCGCTTGGCTCAGGCCGAACAGCTGTCAGCCTAGCTTCGTTTCGTCTGCGTCTTGTCCGGCGTCTGTTCCCTTGGCCAGCTCAGTGCCGTCTCTAGACTCTACCGAAGATGTGGATCTTACTAATTTACTGTCGGCCGTTGCATCGACTGTCGCATCCGTTGGTCTCCACCACTCTCAACTTCACCCCGAGCATTGAGGTGAGCGATAGCCTGGCTGGTCATTGTGGCGACAATATGGAAAGGCATAATGAGTTTCCCATAGCCGTCGGTTGAATCCGGGCTGCCTCGTCCAAAGTAGTGAATGTCGGAAGTTGCCTTACGCTGAGTCAACTTCACCTTTGCGCTGGTTTTTCCATTTACAAGTTCGGAATTTGGGGGCGGGCCAAAAACGCTATAGAGGCAGGCAACCAATAACAATTCCATTCCATTCTTCAGATGACGCTTCCGCTGACGAGGATAGCAGTTTCCTATTGGCCTGTTGGTTTACTTGACTCTCACCTTCACCAAAAAGTTACAATTTCGATGAAGAGCCTGGAATTGGTAAAAAGCCGAAAAAGGTGAGAGAGCAAGGAGGGGTAGGACAACGATAAATGCAGGTCGCGTGGCCGAGCGTTTCTCTTTACCTGGGAATATCTGGATAAAGCTGAGCCACACCACCTCGCAGAAAGTTGGGATGAAGCGATTGTCACGCCTCACGGGGTCCTTGTTCCACTCGGCCTCCTTCACCCGGACATATTCTCTCACATTCACTCTGACCTCCTTTCAAACCGCCCTTTCTCTAAAAGACTTCGCGCAGCCTTCCCCCTGCAGCTCTTCCCTTTCCTCTTTCCTCTTCCACACTTTCGCTCGGTACCTGAAGCTAGAGTACCTACTTACAACTTACAACTTTCATCACCACCAGAACCAACACCAACACCAACAAAAACCCGAGGCTCGACATTTTGATCCAGATATCCGACTTAGCGACTGGTCGATCCAAAGTCGCATCAGCAGGACATCGAGTGCTTTTTGCCTCCCTAGAGTAGGACCGTGATGTCTTTCTCATCCTCGTCTTCGTCATCGAGGCACTCGTCAAGATCCTCAAGGTGCAGCTGCGACAGTTGCGCGGAGTACAGATACGAGAGAACATGCCACGTCGACGGCTGCTCCAGAAAACATGCTTTCATTCGCAACGATCCTCTGAGACCAGACATCAGAATCTACTCTGATTTCTGCGTTGATCGTACGTATAGAATCATCTTTGGCCGAGATCGCACAAGCTAATACTTTCTCCTTCAGATACATGCAAATTTTGCGTGCTTGGTTTAGAAATGTGCAATCGTCCTAAGGACCCTCAGCATCGTTTCTGTAGTGAACGTGAGCTTATTCATTTCCCTCGTGTTGCGATATTTCCTGACATTCAGAGCAGACCGGAGATGCGGAGTAGTGGGCTGCGTTCGGACCGGAGATTGCCCCTCGAACGTGCCACTCCCGTGGATGTGTCCGGACCGTGAGTTCGACCCACTAACACCACATCCGGAGCTATGACGCTGACGTGCATTCTGGATAGACAAATGCTTCGTCGAGGATTGCTACAAGACTAGGGACAAGCTGTATGGCTACTGCGCCGACCATCGATGCCGAGTTGGAAGCTGCTTCGAGAGGAGGATACTCAACTCCGAGTTCTGCGCCGACCACCACTCGCGAATTTGCCGAGAGCTGAACTGTCGAGAGGTGATATACGCAGACCATCGTTGCTTCAATCATCAACGTTGCATCGTCAAAAACTGCAAGTTCCACCGCTTCAGACGTCCAGATGGCGGTCTCTGGGACTTTTGCGAACATCGTGAGTCAACTATTGGCAGCCCCGGAAGTTCGGCAAACTGACAAACAAGCAGACTATGGCGAATTCCGCTGCACGTACAAAGACTGCGACAAGTTGACAATACCTGGCACTCGCTCCTGCGCCATCCACAAGTGCACGTTTGAGGGATGTATCAACTTCCGAGACAACGAGCTTGACAAGGAGAGAGTGTTCTGCAGAGACCACGGATGCGGTGCATCGAGATGTTATGCTGTGGCCGTCGCTATCGATGGGGGTGGCTTTCGTCCCTTTTGCCGGAGACACACTTGCACGATAGCTGGCTGCAACGAGGTGTCCGAGTTTGGTGTTCACTGTCACAAACATCGATGTCACTGGAAAAGCTGCGAAAAGCCATGCCTGGCGGGAGGAGAATACTGCGGTGATCACGAGTGCAAGAGACCTGGCTGTCGCAAGATTGCCAAATTGCAGTTTGGCTACTGTGCAGATCATTGCTGCAAGATTGATGGCTGTATCAATTACTGCGACGTTACGGCAGATAGGATATGCTACGAGCACTCGAGAGGCGACCTCTTCGATCGTATCAAACACCTCGAAAAGAGGTTGAGAGAACGACAACATGAGCACATCCACGAACATCACGATCACCACCATCCACACTTTGACGACATGCAGATTCGTTACGACAAGCTTATCAGAGACTATGACGAATGCCTCATCAGGTTGAACGAAAGCAGAGAGGAGATCCGCATTCTGCGGACCACCTTTATTTCACCAGACGACAACCGCATCTGGCGAAAGGAGCTCGAAGATCGCAACGCTCGTCTATTACTAGATTTAGACAGAGAAGTGAAGAGAAGCGAACATTGGGAGCGCAAAGCCATCGAGTTTGGCCGGAGAATCGACGATCTCGAGGTTCTGTTGGCAGAGGAACGACTGCGACATCCCAAGTCGGATGAATACGTTAGACAAATCGCAGATCTCGTACGCAAAGTCGAGATCCTTGAGGATGAGTTGCGCATCGAGCGCAATAATCATCACATTCACGAAGGGCGACAGCGCGAGATCGAGAAGCTCGTCCGCACCATTGAAGAGCTTGAACGAAAGCTCAAGGGCGATCATATCAAGGTGGATGAGCTCATCAAGAAGGTTGATCTTCTGCAGTCGATACTCGCTGGCGAGAGAGAGCAAAAGGACATTCTTCTGGCTGAGCTTGCTAAGCGGGATGAATATGAGAGATTGAGACGAGAAGAGCGCCGTCGACCTAGAAGAGGGAGCTGGGAGAGAAGATCCCGCGACTCGCGGCCTTGGGGCAGTGTCTTCTGAAACGGAGACCGAACAGTGTGTACAAGACAACGAGAAAAGAAAGGTTGTTTCATAGGATTGAGGAGTATTGGCTTACTTGCATTTGGCGTCGGTACTGGGGATCATTCGGGAAAAGGATATGCGATACCCAAAATTGCCGCCTCACAGGATCAGGCAATAAGTAGTCATAAAGGAGTAATAGAGACAACATTGAGTGGCTCATTGAAGAAGCATCGATAAGGTGAGAACATGAATTCCGCAAGGCTTGATTGTGACACGTTTTACCTTATGTTCTGTTACCTTAGGCCTTATACGAGTGCTCGCCGGCAACAAGTCCTTTGCAAATAGCTTGTAGTGTGTGTAAATCCCAATCTGGCAGTATGTATTTATGAATTTGTTTATATCGGCAGAACAACGCCTTGTTATTTCCCCTTGTTTAAGGATCCCCAGTCAAGACTCGACGGCCGGCAAATATAACTCTATCAAGCTCTGAAAGGAAACAGTGTGAGCTGACAAAGCAGCGAGTCCTCAATCAGGACATTCGAACTCGGACTATATATTGTCTTTGTCAGCATCAAGGTCACTTTAAGAGCAACGTCATACGGGCCTTTACAGCGAGGAAGAGGATGTAGAAATCACATCTATAAGACTATGATGGCAGCTCGGGATCTCTTGTGTTTATCTGAAGTTCAGAACCCCATCAAACATTTTGCAAACATCAGAAACATTAGCCTTCAGTTCCCGATATTGTTCCCCTTTTCCAGATTCCTCGAACCATATCTGGCGGTCCACAAGCCCGCAACCACCAGCCACATGTGTCAACGCCTCAAAATCATCTACTATTGCCCTTGTGGTAACACCGCTTGTATGCGTGCCAATGAGCATCCTATGACGAGAGAGTTCTTCGCCCCAGGCCAAGGAAACGTACTAAGCATCGATATCAGAGGCAACTGGTCCCGATGTTCCTTGTGGCTTCGGCATGAATCGCGCGAGACCGTGTTCAATCCTGCAGTGAGCTCAGAAGGCCGCTGCCCGCATGCCCGCTGGTTCCACCACTTTCATTGCGAGAAGGTTTGCGACGCCTGTTCGCAAGAGCCGGCCAACGTTGAAGCCGGAAATATCGGCTTTTCTTGTCAACAATGGAGTGACCATCGAGTTGCTGTTCCTCTGGAATACATGCCTGCTCATCTGAGAGGCTCACTCTCGCATGGTAGACTAGATGCTAACGGGGAGCCAGTGGGTCATCATGTCAGTGACACTTTCAGCACCGATGCTCAGGCTAGTAGCAGCAGTAGTGAGCTCAAACTGTCGGGTTTGGGAACTTCCAGCAATAGCCCAAACATGATATTGCGACTGCGTGAAAAGACTCAAGAAGTCAACAGAATGTATGAAAGCCTGAAATTCCTTCCCCCAAGCTCACCATACCCTCAAATTATTGGTCTTGAACGCAAAGACAATGACTTCACTAACCCTTTCGATGCCGTAGGATTCGGTGGCAGGATCCGGAATTCGAGCGATTTCTGGAGTCGAGTCAGCCCGTACGGCTCAGTTGGGGCTGAAATGGATATCTACCGCCAAGCCCAACTAACACTACCGCCTACACCAGAGATTCTTGGACAAATTTCGGGGAGCATTCAAGCCGCCATAAGGGCATCTGAAGCTCGCGGAGGAGGTGGTGAAATGAGAGCTCCTAGCCCCCTACCTCGTCCTTCGATGAGCCAGGAGGAACTCTATGCGAGAGGGTTGGCAGATAGCTGGGTACAGAAGCGAAATGAGGGAAATCAGTAGCGGGCATTACCGTGAAACTGTACACTGGTTTCAAGCGGAGGATTCGTTCGCAGGCTCAAATGTGAGAATCTTACCCTGAAAGTCTGAAAGTCCTGATCTCAGCAGCAGATTTTTTTTCTTCGAGAGGGTAGTACTCAATGTGGAAGAGTCTACGAGCTCGTTGTTTCTGGTAGCACTGGTGGGTCAAATTTTCTGCGGTAAGGAGTTGATTGACTTCTAAAAGCATTTGAGCTGTATTATTCTAAGTTTTACCTATCGTACAAGACACGTCCTAGTCTAACATTGACCTAAGCCCCCTGAGAGTAAGGGGAATCTTGCTCGTCTACAACTCTCTTAGCCATGCGTGATCGGTTGCGTTGGGTTGCATGCCAAGTTCACGTGAAAGAGAGTAACGCAGAAACACTCAGTAATCGTCGTCATGGAAAGCGTCATCCGACGATGCGTCCAAGGTACTGGTCAGACGTCTTGAGCCATCTTTCGAGTCCAAATCGAATGGGTTCTTTCCCAGCACCATCTCTAGAGTGATGGCAAATGTTAAAAAACCCAGGGCCATTGTCAAAAGTCCAAGCAGTTGAGTTACGAGCCAGCCGTAGTCCCCGTTAATGGCAACCCAGACCGGGAAGCAGATAAAGCCGTAGACACCACCGACCGACATCGGGGTCAGGAAGAGAACGGCGAGAACTTTCCAGCCAACGAGGTAAGACCGGTAGCGATAGGCGAGTGCCGTGGCAAGAAACACGCCAATCGAGTTGGGTGCCATCCACCACCAAGGGAACTTATTGATGACAACCAGTGGCTGGTTTCCGAAGTAGTGATAAACTCCCATCGGTAGAAGAATTTCCTCCACAATGAGGTCAGAGACCATCATCAGGCCCAGAAAGTACCACAAAGTTCTCGTCGAGGTCTTGTTGGTCAAAAGCTGGAGGTTGATCTGCATCAACGAGCCGTAGCCGAACCAAATCGGTATCCACGGCGGCATTTCACGTCCAAGAATGTGTAAGGTAGCATTCTGGTCGGTCCATGGGTAGTAGATGCATCCGAGAACATCGATAAATGTCTCTGGAAACGCAATCATTGCGCCGCTGAGTGGAAGAAATAAAGGCAAAAGAGTGCGAGAGCGAAGAGCATCTCTCGCGCCGAGAAGAACGGCCGAAAGTCCAATTGCTGTCATAGATATCATGCAGATGATATTGCTGGTCTTATTGTATGGAAGATCTGTTGGTGGTCGAGGAAGATCAAAGGCTGAGTCGATGTTGAAGTCCATGCTTCCACGCTTTGGGAGTTCATGGAAATATGAGCCGATGAGAGCTACGGCCGTGAGGCTGGCAATGACTGGTATGATCAAATTGCGCGACGACGACATTTTTGCTAGATGAGAGGATGTCATATTCGAAACGACTTGAGGAATGGTAATGTGATCTAGAATCTAGGTGATGTATAGTAGGAAGTGCAAATTAGTCTTGAGCGCAACCCGAGAATCGTGCGTCTTAAATAGTTCATCCTTGGTCACCTGGTCGTTCATTCTAACTACTTGAGACCGAACGTTTTTCTGGAATGAAGTGTGTTGCGGTGGAAGTTTTTGGTGAAATAATCTTGGGGCATAAGCTGTTGACAGTTACTCTTCAACGTCGAAACTCGTTCCCGAGCTTCCCCTTTCGGAAGTGTTCACTAACTAATCCAGCCCGTGCTAACTAATGACAGTGGATAGTAGAGTCGTCGAAATAAAGTGCACAGCCTTGATGAATTAAAGAAAGGAGAGTTCACATGTTTGAAAAACCTTGCTCGCGTCCAGACGTCAAACCTTTCACTTGGATGGGCAATTTAGTTTACTTGTACAGCTAATGCTATCCTGGGAATTAGCACCGTTCACCCTCAGAATCAGGGTCTTACCTGATGCTCGCTCGACCTGTTGCTTGAGCACACTAGGGGCGGCACGGATACCCTGACTTACCTCAGTATGTTATGGCAATGACCCTCACAAACATGATGAAGCATATTTGCATTTCAAACTTGAAGTTATTTACACCCACAGATTGAGCGCTTAGTTGGGGCCTACGTCTCAGAACCAACGATGGCAGCTTCACTTGCAAGATCCAATCCCGAATTACGGCGAAATGCATGGTCTGGCCATGCACAATGAGCCCACTAGGGACGGCTACATGCATTCGCTCCCTGTTGACCCATTCTCCACCTATGACAGTTGAAATCGGGGAAGCAATCTCCTGATGATGCCCCACTTAGCTCGGGCAGCTGATTAGAGCAGACATCGGGGTATTAGCCATGCTGGGGTCAACCAACGACTTTCAGCTTGGCAGAGGGGTCCATGAATCCTTCAAAATGAGACCTTTAAAGCTGATTGCAGCCCTCTCTCGTATGGCCTCTCTGTTTCTTCTCAGTGATCACCTATCACAGTCTCATAGAAAGCAACTTCCATCAATAATCACGTCCTGCTAGTTTTACAGTCTCTGCCGCCAGCGAGGAAGCACACACACTTACGAACTCTGTCTCACTCCGGATCTTGAGTCGAATTGTTGAAGTCCTACTACCAAGGAATGGCATCATTGCTTACTCTTCCGCTGGAGATCTTGCAACAAATCTTGGCCGAACTCGCCGACAACCCACCAGAACCACCCAGTTTGGAGTATTCTGTCCCTTCTTTCAATGCCAATCCAACGTCGGCAATACTCTGCCAGACATGTCGCAGTCTCCGTGAGATTGTCGAGCCGGTCCTTCACCGACACATTTACATGTCAAGTGCGAGTGTGAAGAAGTTTATATCGCTGTTCAAATGCTGGATAGCACGCCCTCACTGCGCTCAATACACCCGAAGACTCACAATCGAGGCAATATCACGACGCTATGAAGGGTTTTCTCGGCGTGCAACAACGCGTCTGATTGATCCTGAAGATGCCGATTTCGTTTCTGGCATCATTCGAGATATGGGTCTCAAGATACGACCCGATTGGTACGAGCATTACTGGAACATCAACGTCTTGGTGGAAGTAGCCATGCTACTGGCACAGAACGCCGAATGCGTGGAGCTGTTATTTCAACACAAACGCGGCGTCTATCGACAACCCTTTGATATGATTCCTGAGCCGAACAAGACAACTAAGCCCATCCTCTTCAACAATCTTCGACACCTTCACCTGATACAACCAGGTCTCAGTACTATGGACGAGTTTAAGTCTATTCTGGACTGCGCACCAAACCTTCAAGGACTTCGGCTTGATTTTTGTGGTAACCCCATGTCCGTGTTCACCCTCCCGCCCAATCTCACCAGTCTCATTCTACGGCGTACCAATCTCGGCGCACGACACTTCCAATCAATGACCTCAAATCTCACTATGCTACGCCATCTAGAGCTTGTTTTGAATGGCTTCTCACGAGAAGCATTCATCCTGGAGGCCATTGCAAAGCATCGCAACACTTTGACGAGTCTGGCATTGTTTTCTGACAAAAGTCTTCCCTTTGCAAAGCTGAAGAGTCTCCACAAACTCGAATCCCTTACCACAAGCTTTGAGACTGTCCAATCCGGGGACTTATTGGGCTCAATTCCATCTTCTTTGCGTGAGTTACGCATTTTGGAAGAAACGGATGGCGGGACTACGCATCAGCCTGAGGGGTGGTTCAAAGAATTCAACGCTGACTTGGATACGCGATCGGGAACTCTGCCTAAGAACATGGTCATCTATAAAAGTTTGTATTCCAGGAGGATCGGCCCCGTGCCTTCTCTCACTTGCTGCAACAGGGATTATGTACTTTGGCAGAAGATGAGCGAATGCAGACAGTGACAATACCACAATAGTCCTGGCAACTTCTGCTCGGAACAGTCCGCAGTGCTTCGCCATTGCTAAGAACATGATGTTTGACTTGGAGCCATCTCAGAGAAGAGATGTTGAGATGTGTGTAAAGTAAAGTTGTTACAAGGACCTTGAAGAAGCGTGGTAAAAATGCACAGCGGCGCGATACCAGCAAACGTGCTTAGTCATCATTCATGGGCGCGATTCCAGAAGTTGTTCCACTGAATTATCTTGGTTCCCTCATCAAACTAAATCGTCAACCACCGATATAGGGGGTCCAAGTAGACCATGCCTCCTACACCAGATCCTATGGATGCTAGCCATGTATACGAGAATCCCATCACTCTCAGGTCTTCTCGTAAACCGCGCAGGGCTGGCATTTGGGCTCTCCTCTCACTGGTGCTCCTGGTCAATCTAGCCGCCAGTCTCTACCAGCTTCCCCTCAGCAGAGTCATTGAGCGCCGCCTCTGCCGCGAGCACTATGCAGTCACAGATCCTTCAGTGATCGATAAAGATGGGAACATTGCGGAGGGTCTTTGCAAAGTGGACAATGTGCAGCAGGGTCTTGCTTGGATCCAAGGGACCATGGAAACGGCGTGGATCGTGGGTGGTAAGCGCGCAGGATCTCACTGACAAGGCATTCGCTCCTCGACTGACACCTGTCCAGACTTCATCATGACGATCCCGCTGGGTTTCCTCGCGGAGAGGTACGGTCGGCGGTCCATCCTGTGCCTCAATATTGTGCCCCGCATCATCTTGTTGACGTGGGCCGTTATCGTGGGGTACTTTGAGCAGACCTTGCCGACCAAAGCCATGATCGCATCCCCGTTCTTCTCGGTCCTAGGCGGTGATTGTGTCTTCAACTCAATCACATATGCCATCGCTTCCAATATGACAGACGACCATGTCCTGAGGTGAGTAGACCACCGACCTGACATCGCGCATTACCTCGCTGACTGAGGTGATTAGGGCCACGTATTTCGGATGGATGAGCTCTGTGTCGTATGTCGTCAACTTGCTTGGCCCAGCTCTCGCATCAGCATCTATGAGTCTCCTTCTTTGGCTTCCGTTCTGGATTGGTATTGCCCTCCTTCTTCTGGCCATTCCCGCTGTTTCCCTCCTTGAGGAATCACCCAACAGCCACCCTGACGCGGACGACCAAGCGAGACCTCTCCTCTCGTCTCCTGTCTTGAAAGCCCAAGACGCCGATTCATCGCTCCTGAGATCCATCCTCCAGCGCTTCGGCGTCTTGAAGTCTATCGTCGCAAGTCATCCTCGCAACATGACCCTGCTGCTCATCAGCTTCGTCCTCACCTCGCTCGCAAGCTCAGACACGAAGTTGCTTGTCCAATATATCTCGAAACGCTATCACTGGACGTTCGCGTCGACAGGCTATCTGCTCTCCGCCAAAGCTGTCGTCAACTTCACGCTCCTTACGGTCATCATCCCCGCCATTCTACGGTCGAGACAGAATAGGTCGCGGCATAGTCCGCCCGAGCTGGCCAGTCACCGGATGAACATCCACTTCGCCAACATCTGCTTGATTGTCTCCATCCTTGGTGCTCTAGCGATTGCCGTAGCAAGCCGGATCTGGATGATGGTGCCTTCACTGTTTCTCTATGCTCTCGGCTCGGCGCTGCCAGTGTTTACGCTATCACTGCTCAAGTCTCCCTTCATCTCATCAAAGAGACACGACCAGCCACCCAACTCCGCGGATCCAGAGTCGCACATCTTCTCGATCGTGATGATAGTCAAGACATCAGGATCGCTTTTAGGCGCACCACTGATGATGGTTCTATGGGTGAAGAGCATATCGATCGGCGGCGCAGCTCTAGGCATTCCGTACCTTGTCTCCGCCAGCTGTTATCTTGCTGCTTTGCTCGTCTTAGGTCGCATCACAACGGAGTAATGCAGTTTTCTTTCAGAAATTGGAGTCAACATAGACACGACAGCACAATCTCATACAAAAATCCTGGTCATGGATACAATTGCGTGCTTACAAGAAGAATGATATCAGTAGACGACGGTGATTCCAGGAGGAGATGTAAGCCATGAGCACACCTGAAACCATCGGCCGAGAGAACACGCAAGCTCTCTACCCCCGGATGCAACCCACCATAAGTTGGCTCCTGATGATGGAATTCGGGGTTCAAGCCTCCAACCAGGAGCGGCCTCCATGAGCTCAAAGTATCTGGAGTAGCAGAGTATGCGGAAACCAGACACGTACGGCCAGGTAGCTGTCACCCAAGTATTCAATTCGCAATCGCTTCTAGTGGGTTCCGGTTCACGCCGGGCTTTGCCAAGAGCCCATCAAGTACCTCAGTATCTACAACTTCCATTGGTGGTAAGAAATTTGCTATGGTGAGCTTCTCTCTAAGCACAAGATGCTCATCCGACCGACCGGCCACCGTGGAGACCGCGGAAGCCGTGGACTCTCCGGCACATGACGGGTCTAGCTCCGGACCCTCGGCCGCAATACTGGGGTTCGTGACTCCGTCGCCCCGGAAGGTCGCGACTCTCATTTGGAAGTGCCATCACGACCTTTATTGCGCACCCGAGACATCCGAACTTGGAGGTCCAGATAGCTATATGAGCTGTGAGGTATTGTCTTGAACCAACACACACCCTGCAGGCCAAGAAAGGGAGTCCAAGCTATGTTGGTTCCACGACCCCTGTCACTAAGCGGGGGATCTCCGTTGTGCTCACTGAATGCTGCTTACCGTTCAGCTCAAATAGATCAAACAATGGCATCTGATACGTGGGTCTCGATCCTTCGCTTGCTTGCTTACTCCTCAGTTTCATCATCTCATGCTCCTCTCACTTCCACATGTTTATCCCATTGTTCTGTGATCGGGTCACCGAGATTCTCATCTTGCGAAATCCCAACATGTTGCGCTCCAATATAGTGAGAGGTAGAACTCTTACACGCCTCCGACCAAGCCCAAGACCATCATTCCACCACTGCCGCCAACCAGCCCTCCAACCAAAACGCCTCCTCTCAGAGAAAACACCCACCATAGCAGACGAACAGGTCGACATCCTCATAATCGGCTCCGGCGCAGGCGGTTTAACGGCTGCCCTCCGCGCCAGAACCCTCGGCCTTAATCCAGTCGTCATCGAAAAGGAAGCAGCACTCGGCGGCGCTTCGGTAATCTCAGGCGGAGGCCTTTGGATCCCAGCAAACCCAATATCCAAAGCCGCAGGCATATCTGACTCCAAAGAAGATGCCCTCGCGTACTTTGATCAAGCCGTAGGGGACGTTGGGCCCGTCTCGTCGTTGGCGAAGCGCAAGGCGTATCTAGAGAATGGGCCACGGATGATTAGCTTTCTGAGGGATCTTGGTTTCGAATGGAGGTTTAGTAGGGGGTATCCGGACTACTACCCCAAGATGAAGGGCGCCATGGGGAAAGGAGGCGGAAGGACTATCGAGTCCGTGGCGTTTGATACCAGGAAGCTGGGGAGATGGCAAGACGCACTGCCGCCCGCGAATATACCGGTGGCAATCCACGGCGAACAGGCACCGTGGATCACAATGATGACGGCTTCTCTGCAAGCCTTCATCAAGTCGACTCGCATCATGCTACCCATCATCAGCAAAACCATTCTCGGACAGAAACTCGTCAGCCTAGGCCGCGGGCTCGTCGCCCAGCTTTTGTATCTCAACATCAAACAATCAACCGACATCCGCCTACGCACCTCCCTCCTAGACCTCACACTCTCCCACGCGGGAAAAGTGACCGGCGCAAAAGTCAAACTCCCCGACGGAACCACCAAAACCATCAAGGCTTCCCGGGCCGTCATCCTCGCAGCAGGCGGCTTCGCGCACAACAAACCCCTCCGCGAAAAGTACGGCCCAGCCCCAGCCAGCACGTCGTGGACCAACTCGCCCAAGAGCGACACAGGCGACGCAGTCATCGCGGGGCAGAAACTCGGCGCAGCGACGGCGTTGATGGATGATGCGTGGTGGGGGCCAACCATCTTCGACCCCGTGACGGGGAAACCTCACTTTGCGCTGATAGAGCGGTCTCGACCGCACTGTATCATTGTTGACAACGCGGGAAAGAGGTTCATGAATGAGGCGCAGTCATATACGGATGCTGGACACGACCAGTATGAAAGGAACAAGTCTATAAAGGCGATTCCAGCGTGGTTGATCATGGACACCAACCACCGGAACAGATACATGCTCGGCACCGAGCTCTTCGCGAGAATGAAGCCCAAGAAGCCGGTGGCGAATGGAACAATGTTCGCGGCAAGGACTCTCCGAGACTTGGCGAAACAGATTGGAGTCGACGCCGAAGGTCTGGAAGGTACCATCACGAGATACAACGACATGTGCAAGAGTGGCATTGACGCAGACTTTGGAAAGGGCGACAACGCATACGATAATTTCTTCGGTGATCCTGTCGCTGGCGGACCGAACCCAAACATAGGAGCATTGAGCAAAGCACCGTTCTATGCCATCGCCATCTGGCCAGGCGACTTGGGCACCAAGGGGGGACTCTTGACTGATGAGCATCAGAGGGTACTGAAGGAGGATGGCGAGGTGATTCCTGGGCTGTATGCTATTGGTAACACGGCGGCGAGCATCATGGGACGGACTTATCTGGGAGCCGGGTCGACTTTGGGTCCTGCAATGACGCATGGCTTCCTTGCCATCAATCACATCGCCGAAACCTGAACGTCTGGCTCTACTGAACTGTACTTGCTATCCGAGTGTCACTTATCATGACTGGCTTTCCATCATCCAGTGAAAATATAAGATAGCTTGGTTCGTGGTGACGAGTGTATCTCTACAGGCTTGAGGTCACGCGAGACTATGCGTAGCAGGACCATAATAGGTTGTATTTAACCATCAATATCATATATATACGTTGCTCTGTCTGAAATTTAGATCATGTAAATGAAAGCAGTCGCGTATGACTGCGTGATCTCGCTCGCAATGACAACGCCCTCCATGCTATCCATCGACCTTTGGGTCACTGGTGAATCCAAATAAACAGCACCATGAAAGCACAGCGAACCTTCAACATAAGCACATCTACTCTATGTCATCATCTCCTCTCGTGTACGTCGCCAGTCTACGCCGGTCTAACAGCCTCTAACACAACTCCTTGTGTGACTCTAATGGGGTCGCTTCTGGGGTAGCAACGACGTCTGGTGTCGAAGTTCCGGAGTGTAGCTTGTCGTAGTCGGTTGAGTCAACACTGTTTTTGTCCGATTTTTCCGACTTTGAATCTTCATTCGTCTCGTCCTTGTCGTCTTTGGGGCCCTCAGTTACTTCTTCTGTCTTCTCTTTCACGGATGAATCGACACCAGGCTTCGCAGCTTCGGCGCCGTCGGACTCAAGCTTTTCACGCTCTCCGCCCGCGTTCACCTGGGCGTTGTCGATGTCGGCCTCTCCCTTCTTGCCCATACCACCCTCGAGAAGCTCGCCACCTTCCATGACGACGCGCACTTCAAGGTCCTCATCCATGGAGTAGACACGCACTCCTACAATACAGATGGCGTTCCAGGGATCAGGCAAACCCTCCTCCTCAGATTCGTAACGCTCGTCGTGTCTTTTGGGCGGTCCGGCGGGAGTCAGGCGTGGCTTTCTGACCATGTCATCGTCACTATACAATGCTTCCCAGTCTTCGATGGGCGAGTCGGATGAATCGCCATCCGAGTCATAAGACTTCTGCGCTGGCGGTGCGGGAGCAGGGGTAGGAGCAGGAGCAGGTTTGTCTGCAGGCTTGTCGTCGGCGGCGTCCTTCTTGGCTTCGTCTTTGGACTCTTCCTTAGACTCTTGCTTGGACTCTGGCTTGCCTTCGTCCTTGGATTCTTCCTTAGACCCATCTGTGCCATCTGACTTGGAGTCAACAGCAGCTACGTCCTTGGATTCCTCTTTAGATTCCTCCTTGAACTCGCCTGCACTAACGTCCTTGGAGGCTTCCGTCTGGACGGCTTGGTCCTTGGGCTTCTCCACATCCTTCTTCTTCTTCTTTGCATCTTCCTCTTCCACAAGTTTCGCTTCTTCGGCCTTCTTGGCTTCCGCAGCAGCCTTCTGAGCGGTCTCGAGATTAGCCTTGACCTTGGCTGCTTCGGCCTTCTTGGCAATCTTGCGGTCGCGCTTCTCGTTGTTCTTCTTGGTCTGCTGCTTGGTGACTTCACGGTTGGTGTGACGTCTCTCCCAGAGCTTGCGGCGCTCCTTCTGGCGAGACTCGGAGGCCCTCTGCTGCTCCTTGATCTTTCGCAGCCTGGCGACCTCTTGAAGGTGAGCAGTGCCTTTGCTATGCGCCAAATCGTACGCGGCACCAATTTGCGCCAGCTTGTCGTTCTCGACGCGCTTCTTGCACTCACGCTTTACTACATCTTCGACAGAGGAGATATTAGTGTCCCTCTCACCAGTGACACTCATAAAGATGCTGTACTCTCCGGCTGGCATGTCGGGCAACTCGATAGAGACGGATCTGTCCATAAGATAATTGCCGTGGGAGCGTACGATGTAGTCCTCGGCGCCGGGGCGGTCTCGCTCATGTATACGGAAGTGGATGCGGAAAGAGTATTGTCCCTGGAGTCCCTTGAAGTATCTGGTGTCAAGTTGAGTCAGAACGAGGACTAGAGGCCCATCCTTGGACAACTTGACCTGGAACTTCTCGTTGAACTGGGATTTCCAAGGCACCTCGACGCCGATCCAATGTTGAGCGCATCTCCAAGCGGGGTCGCGGAACAGCCTGGTTCTATCGATGTGTTGGAATTTGCGCAGGAAGTCGTTGTAGTTGATCCAGAAGACAGAGTCATTGCCAAAGTGGTGGCCAAGCTCCTCCTGGACTTCCATGGTCCATTCTTTGGAGCCATCGGACCAAGCACCCTCCCACACGCCCTTGCGAATCTTTCCCCAAGGGTTTCGGAGCTTGATCAAACGCTCTCCAGATTTGAGAGTCCTAGCTTCCATTATAACGTATGCATGGCCTTCCGAGATGCCATTTCTCTCACCATAGCCTCCATCTAGGAGACCGGTAGAGCATCCGAAAAGGAACTCCTCGTTGACTTTAGCAAGTTCGTTTTCCCAGAAGCCCTCGAGGTCAAGAATATCCGAGGTGAGCAGCTCAGTGGTGACACCACCTGAGAGATCTTCCAATCCCTCGCCGATCCAACCACCAGCTAACGAAGCGAAGTCACCGTGGGCCTTGGCATATGCCTTTTCAATCAGCGGTACCCAAGTCTCGTTCTGGTCTTTGCACTGCGCAAAGAACAGTGCCTTGGACCCGGTCTGATAGGTCTTGCGGTAGACACGCTCAACATCCTCTCGGTCGATCTGCTGGAGGAGGTCCCGCTGCATACTAGGCGAATCCCAGCAGGGAGACTTCAAGTACAGCTTGTCGTCGATAATGGAGTAGATCCACTCGCCGTCGCGGTAGAAGACGAAGCCGTAGATGCCGATGCGGGTGTCATACTCAACGCAAATGCGCTGAATACCGCCCTCGACATTGGCGAGGGCGGTCAGCGTAGCCATCAGCCAGCAGTCCCCAAGGCTCCCCTGTTTCACATCTCCGCCATTGACGTTCTTTAAAAAGGTTGGCTTCTCGAAGATTTCGTGAACACGCTTTACTGCCTTCGGAACAGATGCGCTTGGGTTCGAGAGAGTCGTTCTGGAAAGCTGCCATTTGGTGTGGCCGAGAGTGTTGAGACAGTGGCCCTTCTCCCACTTCAAATCCCAGTCCTGTATGGCCCGTTAGCCCCTCAACGTCCAAGCAGTAAGAAATTGAGGTGGAAGTCACTCACCAAATCCCAACCAGGGTCCCGATATCGCATGTTGACTCTACGACATTCTTGGATAATCTTCTTCACTTTACGGCGGCACTCCTCGACAGCTCGTTCGTATCCAGCACTCAGCAACTCGTTGGGCTTCTCTGAGCTCGCTGGGGGCAGAACCGGGTCGAATGGTAGTACAGCCAAAGCCTTGTTGAACTTTTTGTCCTGAAACTTCTTCCAAATATGGTTGATAGAAGGCTGCGGAGGCGTCTTCTTCTTCTTCGTCTTCTTCTTGTCGGTGTTGTTGGTCGATGCCGGCACAGGGCGCGGGCGACGAGGGTCGTCCGACTCCTCTGAAGAGCTGTAGCCGTGCATGGTGAGAGTGCGGTAGAACAGACACGGAAGCTCGAGAATTAAGTGGTGTTGCAAGTCTGAGGAATCACAACGGTCGAAGACGAGGCAGGTGGTAGGTGGGAGCTGAGCAGTAGTTTTCTAGAACTGCCAGCTTACAGAAAACGTCCCGAGCTTAGTGTTGTACACGGGTCAGTTACGGCAAGATTGGGCGAAAGGAGGGCGGTCTAATGCCTTGGCACAGACAGAGGACCGACTCGAGCAAGATGGAACGGCGAAGGAAGGTTATGGAGGGTATCTTTAGAGGCATAGACGAGCACGAGTCGTGGACGGAAGACGAGGCAGGTTATAAAGGAAACAAAAACGAGGAGGGAAAGGGTACAACGTAGACGAAGGAGGGCTCACCTGGCTCGTAATAGTCGCGGAACTGGGTACATCCAACAAAAGCGTGGCAGCCTCGCCGGAAGTATTGGACGATCTGACAAGCATGAGTCGAGGCCGGGGCCGTGACCGGGATGGCGGAGGTGGAGAGTGGCTCGCACCACATGGATGTAGACGATGGAAAGCCATAGCTATTTACTCCGTAGGCTATTGCGAGGCAGCCAAGGCATCGAGTCGGAAGCCGAGGAACCACATCCATTGTCGCCATCGGCACTTGGGAGGTTGGCGGCATCAAGGGCCCCGGTAAAGGGCAAGCAGGCCGGCGTGGCTGATGGTGATTGTCGTGATTGCTTCCCCCTGTTTCCCCGTATCACTCAATATGTCCACGGCGAATCCTTGGAGGTCGAGCGAGCACTGGGCTTTGAGTGGGGCCAGGGTGTCTCTTGGCGTCGAGCCGGTCGATTTCAGGGTTCCAGAAGGCAGTTCCTCGGATCGAAGGGTGTCAGGTTTCTTCCATTTTGTTGGTGCCACGGTGGAAGACGGAGAGGGAGTTGCGTGGATGTCTTGGACGGAGACAAAGAACGGCGCGCACGGCTGCGGTTGAGGAGGGAAGTTGGATGGGAGAATCGGAGAGAACGGGAATGGTGGAGAGTGGAGGTATCGATACAGCTTGTGTGGGGTGGAAAGTACATGAGCGAGGAACGTAAGGTACCTTACCTTGGACCCCCAATCGTGTCATGCACTACACTCCAGGGGACACTGCAGAGTCGTTAGCGCCGTGGGTGCGCGGTCGCACCCTGCGATAAGACTTTAGTTGGTGCCGCTTCAGGGTCTCGACGCCTATACAACAGATCTGATTGGTTGAAGTCTTCTGCTGATACCGATAAGGCCGCCCAGGCGAGGCGGATAAGGTTCCTAATCGGTTGGCGCCCTTTGATTTTCGGCATGCGCGAACCTCCTCAACCTAAGCTCCTTCGCCTTTTGTTTCCTTCCTCGCTCTTCTGTCCGATCTTTTTCCTCCGCGAGGCAATTCAGACATTCCATTGTCAGTCAATCACCAACCTAATCCATATGCCCTCCATCTTTCCCATCTGCTTGATTCCGGTTCCATCCATACGATACCTCGGTACAAGAGAACGACACAGCATCTACTGTCAATGAAAGGCTCACTTCCGATATTCGGTCACTAATCTTTTCTTCAACACCACCCGTGGACCGTGTTACACAGCTCCCCGGCAGGCAATGGTACAGAGACACAAAAGGCTCTACGGATAGACATCCCGCCATCAGCCGCGTCTGACAGACTTGGTCCCGTTTATCTTTCACGCTTTGGTGCCTGTGTTCGCGTAGCACGAGCTCGGCGAGGTTGCGGATACCAACCACCACCAACCGAGATCCACTCCCGTTGGTATCCCCCATCCGACATTGCCGTTAGAACTTGGGGCAACGTTGGAGGTACACTATTTACACGGCCGGCCTAGCATCCCTGAGCTCGGCCAGGGTGCAAGCTCGACGGTGGCAATCAGTTATTGATTCACGCTCGATCAACAATATTCGCACTTCGGCATGAAGGCATTCACAGTATCCATTTGGGGGCAAACGCCCAGGCTGACTGCCTTGCGACTGCCTGGCATTGCGTTCCATCGCCAACCCCAATTCACGGTTAACGAGATGTATTGGCCAGCGCGATATGAACCCTGATGCACGGCTTAGGCAACGACATCACTTAACCTGGTCAACAAGCAGGCCAATCTGTCAGCACAGCCAGACCATCGTTGACTTTCGTTTTTTTTTCTTTATCAGGCTGCCTCTTCATAACCCCGCGATGTACGATAATCGCTGAGGCTCAGCTTCAGCCGTACGCAAGCGACCCTACAAACCCGCGCCGAACGTCACACTCTCGTATACCACATCTGGACGACGTTGCAGCAATCGACGCCTGCCAGAACCTTAATCATCCTGCAATTGACCAAACTCATTTTGACATTTTTCCACTTCAACTCACACATAGAGATGCTCTACTCCATAGGGACCAACAAACATTTCCCTCTTATCAAGTTGCCTCGAAACATTCAAGAGCTAGACCCTGGCAATTTCTGCCCCGACTTTGGACGGATAAAGATAGATCATCGCAGCACGATAACCCAAGTGCCAAGTTACCTTGAGCCCGTCCCCGAACAACACGCCCGCCTACCACATCGGCTCTAGGCCCACATTGCCACTAGTGGGTGCTTTTACTGGGCTCCTCCACTGGCTTGCGGCGGTGCAGGGGAAGGCAACAAGTCACACATGCACGAAGCGCCAGGAGGATTGATAATGGAATCCGGGGATATCGAGGCGACGAGGAGATGTGATACCCATCTGTGCCATGGTTCGAGGCCATCTGGCCCTGCAACATTGCCAGCCTCCTGTACGAGACCCCAACAACGGCATGGCATGTTGCTGGCCTAAACACTCTGCCATTATTCAGATACAGATGCACCATGCAGGAGGTGGCAGGGGCCATGTTCCTCCACTAAATCTGCCCCGTAGCACCTCACATCACTTGTCACAAGTAGCATCCGACCAGATTCAAGCATGTCAGCAATCACAGTGTGCCGCATTACAGCACTGCGTGGTGCGTGGTGCGTGGTGCTCTCTCAACCAGGCTTCAACAAAATTCACGGCCTCAGAACCATGTCGTCCGCCTTGTTTGACATGGCTTCTTGCAATTCGTCTTGTGCGCGAACCGGGAGACACCGCATGCGTCCGAGCCGAAGTTAGCGGAAGCCCAATGCCGGCTCCGGATCCCATCTGTTCTGGCCCAAAGCAATACACTGCATGTCTACAGACGACAGATAGTATGCATTTCAGCAATATTGACAGCTCGTCTTCTATCACAGTCACCACTGGCATGGAATCGAGGGCGACCATACCCAAGACTCGACGTTGGTTAGCCAGCCAATGTTTCTCGCGACAGCATGCAACCTGACCTCTCTTGTCATGCCACTCTCCAGTAGCCTAAGGTATGGATGGGGGCCTCATTATTGCGTGAACAGCACACCGTGCCGCTGAGCCACTGGCAAGGCGATTGCCTATTTCATGTAGAGGTATTCCAGAGTCAAGACACATGAAGCGACAAAGCGGCCAACGACATCAGATGAGACTATCAAGGACCCAGACTGATTCGTGTCACTGTGGCCGGGCATGGACGGGAAAACGGAAGGCAGAAAATGCAACCAAAGACCGCAAGAGAAAAAGGGGACCAAGGAACTAATCACACCCACCCAGCCAGTGCCAGCCACTTTCGAGGACCCTGAGTCGGTGTGGATGGACCCTGATCGTCCAAAGCACCGGAAACACGCCAGTGGCGACAAGGCTCAGGCCGTGCTACGGAATAGCCGTTCCGAATACGTTGAGATACCGAGGGAAAAGGGTTGATTTAGTAATTAACGGCTTTCGCATACAGTGGCAGCGTCGTACCGAGCTTGACGCCAAAAAACAACGTCGCATTGCCTATCCGTCGAGAATTAGGGGCATGTACTTTGCACACCGACTCGCTGGCTTCGGATACTTGCCGCTTTGGGTCAAGGTCTGGACCAAATGCCCCCTTGTCGGACGACGTCCGTTGCCTCACCGACTTCACACCGTTTCCTCCGATCCCGCAGCTCCATCCTCTTCTGGCGTTCCCACGTTCCCGCCTATCATAATGCCATCCAAGCACAACTTCTGCACGATATGCTCCTGGACCTGCGTCCGCTTCTCCATCATTTACTTGATTAAGAGAGTTTGTGTAACCGTAGTTTGGTGCTTTGTCTCAAGCATGTTGGGTATTCGCATTTCACCCCCATTTACAATAATGGGGCTGAAGAGATATCGAACCGGAACGTCCAGCTTGTGCTCAGCTCCCTGGCCAAGTGGACTAAGTTATGCTAAGCGTACCCGTTCAATAAGAATTGCATGCAGTATGGAGGGACTATGATTACCAGCATTTATTGGTGCAGCTGTCTTTTTTTTTTTTCTCTTTTGGTAAGTAGATATTTGAATGAATTGAGAGTAACGTCAGTCAACGTAGCCACTGTTGCAAATAGTAAGTAACGAGATATCCAATACTTGAAGCCATCAGATCAGTTTGGTGAAGCTCTTTAGTGAAGCGTCACTCGATATAACTTTTTTGAGAAGACTTGCCATAGTCACTTTCTATCATACTGGAAGTACCTTACCGTTAGTAGACACATGGATGAGAATTACTACCAGACCTTCCCCGGACTCAATAGAGTCTCTAAAACCCCCCACAGCAGCAACTTTGTCCTCAGTCTTGTTCTAGATAGTCTTTCTCAGGTTCCCTGCCGTCTTCGATGTCAGGCTTTGTCGGCGTGGAGCCGCTCATCAAGGTATAAGGCTGAGCGTTCCGCTGAAGTATGTTCCATGTAAGTCCGACTTGGTGCGCCACAGCCGGTGTTGCTGGCAATGCTCTCCACAGTTTTGAACGATTATTTAGGATGTTTGCTCTGCTTTGATGTATATCCACCTGGACGGTCGTCTAGTAGTTGGTGGGAAATCCGTGTCGTGTTGAATCACAGCGTAGAGGGCTTCGAGGGAAGGATCTATGGTCTATAGACTCAATGCCGCTACGCTCTTGATTATTTTGTGACGTTAGCTTTGGTTAAAAACTGTATATATACATATTCGGCAATCTGGTATCAAAGTTCAATTTCACGACGGCTGATTCTGATGCCTCATCTCATGGCACCCCAGAGTCTTATTGGGCCAGCGCCTGGCTCCCTGGAAATACCAAACTCCAACTTTCTGATCTCTCAAAAGCTCAATTTTGTCTATCCATGAACTAGCTCATCTCCTCCTATGGGCTGTATATAAAAAGAGTTCATGATAGTCTAGGGTGTAATTCTTCTAGCCATCGGAGACAGCTTTAAACCTACCTGGATGGCCACTGACTCCACGACAAGACGGCAGGATTGCAACGACACCATGAAGTTGAAGGTATTTCTCGTGGTTACCGGAGATGGGTTTGTTTAATAGTGATCGGAGATGCGTTTCTCACATTCTTATAACATCGCCCCTCTCACCGTCTCCAGGAACAGAAAGCACCACCCCTCTCTCAATCTTGCAACCCATTCTTCCTCGTTAAAGACTTATCAGTGTGTTGAGTACACAAACACTTCATCGCACTAGCTTTCCCGCAACCATACACCCGCACTCATATAACCATACCCTTCTCTCTATCAATTTCACGATGATGACCAACGTGGAAGCCGAAAGCAGAAGCAAGCCCAGTCGTCAAGTCTGGCGACAGGCGGTTATAGCACACATCAACCTTAGCACTGTCACCAGACAGAAGCACCATAAAGAGGAGCAAGAGAGACCTGCCACTCCTAATCAGGTGGCTTACAACGAGCAAGATGTCGTCGAGCCGGCCCCGGTCCACCTTGACGGCACTTTTGCAGCCATCTTCGTCGAAAATCTGGAGACCGTAGCTGAAGAGATGGGTATTCTGCATCCAAACGCCATGGATTCAAACGACCTCTCCACTAGCGAAGATATGTACGATTCAATTCCCATAACCCAGCCAGCGGTCCTTGGTCAGTCCAGTGTTTCTAGCGGAGCCTATCTTGTCTCGCCTTCGGCCAGCCTGTTGGTCGACCTAGACTACGGATACAACCAAGCGAACGAAATACAGCACCAGAATTCCGTGCCCCAGTTCGACGCACCCGGCAGCTCAAACGGAGAACGATCTGAGCAGACATCCGAGTCCTCTTCGCAATGGTTCGCTAGATTATTCCATACATATCAGAACCCTAGCGACCAAAACCAGTCGCCCTTCACTCGCCACACTTCAACTGCGCAACATAAGGAGTCTCATTCAAGCCGCCTTCTCGACGAGCGTTGTACATGGAACAACCTCGATGATCGATCAGAACAGGTTGAGAACTCAAGCAACGAGGGCTTGGTTCCTCCCCATAATACGCCAGTTGACTCTGGAGACGTCAGCTCCGTCAACACACCAGCTCCAGCCCCATCGTTGGATCGCGGTCCGAGTATCCGGCTTCAAAAAGCACTGGCAGAAGACCAAGAGGCCTGGGAACCCCTCAAGAAGCCGATCAACGAGCTCGTCGTGTCTAGCGAACCGCTCCCCCCATCTGGTACCCAGAACAGCCTTCTTCAAGCGGCTGAACGAGCGGGCGTCTGGCGTAACGACTTGGGTATTTTTTTTGCGGAAGAAGAGAGGAAAAAGTTGGTACAGAACAAGTATGATAGTGAGGTGAACCTGGTACGACGTCTTCGGGCAGGCCTTGAGACGAAGATCGAGAAGAGGCCCTGTTACCTGCTTTGGCTGGAAGAGAGGCACCAGCTCTCGACGGAGCGGATGTTGACGTCAGCTACGACACGTCTTGCGGATTACGCGGAGGGGTACAAGGCGATTAGTCTGAGAGAATTGTGTCGGAAGCGCGGACATCTTGGTGATTCCCATGGGCAGGTGCCCGTCTGAGAGACTCCCTCATACCTCTGATCTGCAATATTCAGCAGCAGCAACATCAGTAGTGGCAGTCACCACTCCTCGACTAGCATCCGCCTCGCGCGCAGGAAACTAGACGAAAGAGCTTCAGCGGCTTCTTGAGAAAAGCCTCGAGGTAGCTAAAGACGGGCGGCATGGGCGGCTTGAGCCAGGCGCAGCCGCAATACAGAGAGGCAACATGGATCTAATTGATAGCAGACATGAGCATCATGCACGTCTACGAGAGAGACGAGCAGGAACGAGGTAAATCCCATTCAAATGGGAATATTGGCGAGACCGGGTCGCCTGTATCAATTAGTGTGTATAGGTACCTTAGATTACAATGCCATGCAACGACCCATCCATGATACTTGGCCTTCGTAAGCTTTGACATGGTGAACCCATCTACAGTCTAAGAAGTTTTCCTCGCTATGCGGATAAACCTAGTGAAATCGGACTGTCTACGCTTGCACATCACTCTCAGTTGTCACAGCACCATTCTTCAAAACAGGCTCGCCAGGCTGAACAGCGCCATAACTTGGCCCTTCACCCGCTCCCAAACCCCTCTCCTCTTCAGGCACAAGCACAGCCCTCTCCTGATTCTTCTTGTCGATGCTCCTCCTCCAAGGCCGGTACACCACCACCGAACCGAGTCCAACAACGACAAAGAGACCGCAGATGCTGCCGCCGATGATGTCAAAGTGCTCCCCGATCGCGTCGACGCCGTCCCAGAAGCTCCCTTCGGGCTCAGCGACGTTGGCGATGAGAGACAGCACCTGAATGATTCCGATAAATGCCGAGACGAAGACGGTGATGCCGGTGAGGACAATGGAGTAGTAGAGGATAGCAACGCGGTCTCTTGAGAATGCCTTTGAGGTGTAAAGGGCCATCATGAGGGCGCCGTCGGTGGTATCGAGGAGGCACATGCCAGCTGTTGCAGGTCAGTAAATGCACTTCAGTATGTCATGCAAACTCACCTGTGAAAAGAACGGGGAAAATGAGAATAAGCCAGATGCTCGTCCCCTGCGCACCATGCACACTCGACAACCCAAGAATAGCAATCTCGGAACTCGTATCAAAGCCCAACCCAAAAAGGATCCCCAGAGGAAACATCTTCCAAGGCCGGTCGACGACACGGAAAACCTTTCTAAACACATTGGCCAGGAACCCCTCGCCCTCCAACTTGAGATCCGTTGCCGCGTCGCCCTCTTCCTCCTCGGTAGGCGTGTACCCCTCTATCCCGCGCCGCCTCTCCTCCTCCAGCACAACCCGCAACCTCCGGATGAGCTTATACAGCACCCACCCGTTCCCAGCGCACAGAAGCAGCAAGAATGCCGCGCTGACGCTCGTGCCGATGATGTTCCCCACGCGCGTGAAGCCATCGAAGCGGTCCCGTAGCGCGCCGCTCGTGGCGGCTACGACGACGCAGGTGACGATGACGATTGTGCTGTGACCCAGGGAGAAGAAGGTTCCCACTGTAACAGGCCGTTGACCGGAAGCGATGAGGCGGCGGGTCATGAGGTCGATGGCGGAGATGTGGTCTGCGTCGAGGGCGTGGCGGAGGCCGAGGACGTAGGAGAGGGCTGCGGGGGAGATGAGAGAGGGGTGAAAGTGTAGGATGATGCCGGCGACGATCCATATTATGATGTTGATTGTGACGAGGAGTGCGATGATGCGTATTGTCGGTGCCGGGAGGACGCGGAGGGCAGGCGGAATGGGGAGGTTGGCAAAGGGGACGCGGAAGCGCGCCATCGTTGTGGTGTATGAGGCCACGATAGTGACTGTGATCTATGTGGTCTTTGGTAAAGGTGGTTGTGAGTTTTCTAAGAAGCTCTATGATCTAGGAAGGCTAAATGATGAAAAACAGATGAGACGGATGTTTGTGAAGAGGTTGATTTTGAGACGGAGTGCCCAGCCGGCGGGAAACAGCTCGCGAAATGGCGGCCCTCCGGCCCCTCAGGTCTCCTCACGGCGGGGGAGCTCCCCCACCCTTTGCACCCTCACAATACATTGAACATCGATCATTGAGCTACCTATAAGAGGCAAGCACCTAGTGAGAGAGGCAGAGATAGCGTGAAAATACTTGCTCACAGCGGCATTGAGAAGGGCACATTGCGGTGGCAGATTCGTCTCATGGCTGCGCGAGTGACCGGCAGGACCCCTCACGACCCCTCCATCTTTTAGGCGCTATCTTATCGGCCATGCGGGGGCCATTGAGAATGGGGCCGCTCCGAGCCGACGGCGGCCGCCGGCCTTTGGTTCCGGGTGAGGTACTAACTGAGATGCTTAGTAAAGTGCTTTGAATTCTGTTAGTACCTGTGACATCTCCTTGAAATCTATCGCATTCTTCTCAAGACATATTTCAAGACATCAAACTGGCGTCAATATGTTTTGGCTGCTTGGCTAAAAGGTAGGATTGAGGCTTTGGGTGGGATTCGTTTAGATCTGGATGAGAAAACTGGAACCACCAAAGCTTGGCCTCTAACGTATGGGTAAGTGCCTACCTTACCTTGACTCGCACATCCCATTACGATATTTTATAGAGACTTATACCTATTCACTCGTGAGTTCCCATGCTTCTTGCTGAACGCCTTTCAATACCATTGCAAGCCTCTCACGCATGTCTACAATGCCACCAATCCCCCATTGATAAGATGAGGATGAGGATAAGATAACAAATAAGGTGTGGCGGGGTATGTGAGCCGCAAGTCAGCGATTTCCAGCGCTCAGTCAGCCGCCGCCGCCAGCTTGGTAACCCGTGCGGATACCTGTAGAAGCTTGCCTCACCTCAAATACACCCCCTGTCTTTCATCTTCTCTCTCATCTCAAATATCTGATTGATACTCACTTCATCTCAACTCTCTTGGCTCGATCAACCATCAAAAAAGAGAACAATCCATGATCCAATCTCATCCAAATTCATGAACATCGTCCTTTTACTCAGCATAATTTCAACACTCCTCACAACAACCCAAGCCTGCCCAAACCACTCATCCCTCCGCACCCTCACCCTCAAAATGCCCGAAACCTACAACAAAGCCTTCATCCCCTTGGAATCAAACCCCAAAGTCTTCAACGAACTCATCGCAGCCCTCGGCGCCTCGCCCAACCTCCACTTCCAAGATGTTTTCACACTCGACGACCCGACCTTCCTCCCGCCCAAAATCCTAGCCCTCATTCTCGTCTTCCCTACAACGCCAACCTATGAAGCGCGACTGACGGCCGAGGACGCCGGTGCAAAGGATTGGATGGTGGAGCATGATGAAGAAGACGAGGACGCGGTGTGGTTTAAGCAGACTATCAATAATGCCTGTGGGCTGTATGCTGTTTTGCATGCTTTGGCAAACGGCCGGGCCAAGGACTTTCTGAGTGAGTTGGCATGACGTTCCTCTTGATCCCTACCCAAGAGCCCCCAAAAAGACTGACGAGATTCAGCACCGGGATCATTGCTAGACAACCTCCTCTCCATCACAGCGCCCATGGACCCAGCCCAGGCCGCCATGGTGCTGGAAGGCTCAACAGAACTCGAGGACGCGTACGCTGCCATCGCGACAAAGGGCGACACGGCAGCACCGCAGAGCGCAGAGGATGAAGTCTACTTCCACTACATTTGCTTCGTCAAATCACCAGACACTGGCCACCTCTACGAGCTGGACGGAGATAGAAAGGGCCCGGTGGACAGAGGTATCCCAGACGAAGCGGAAAAGGTCGATCTCGGACCAAAGTCCGTAGACATTGTCAGAAACTTCATTCGGCAAGGAGGAGAAGATATTGGGTTCAGCCTCTTGGCCTTGACGGAGGAGGCATGAACAAGCACATCTGCGTCTATGTGGAAAATAGTCGTCGAGCATAGCCACCAGCACATTTTGGCCGAGGCGTCGTGGTGGGATTACTATTCGATCTTTTTTACTTTCTACGGCTAGGTCGTCTATGACGCCCTTTAGCTCGCCTGGATAATCTTCTCCAATTCATCAGGGTCCTTGATGGTGGGCGTCAGGTTCTCACTGCCGTCCTTGGTGATGAGGATGTTGTCCTCGATTCTGCACAAATTAGCACACCTACACAACGGACAGCATTAGGATCGGGGCTTGACTCACCTCACACCGCCAACATCCCAGTACTTGTCCAAGACGGCTTGGTCAATAAACTTGGAGTGAACGGGGTCCTTGAGGTACGGCTCAATGATGAAGCTGCAGAAATAGATGCCCGGCTCAACGGTCACGATACTGCCGGCAGGAATCTGGCCTCTGACACGCAGGTAACGGAACATGGGGTCTGTATCGGCGTAGTTGGGGTTGCCACCGACGTCGTGGGTGTCCATGCCCAGGTAATGGCCAAGGCCGTGAGGGAAGAAGGCAACGCTTGTCCGGCTCTTGAGGATCTCCTCCTTGTCTCCCTTTAGAATACCGATAGCGTGGAGGCCATCGATGGCAATCTTGTGCGCCAGCAGATGAATGTCATCCCAGACGACGCCCTCCTTCAGTGCGGCAGTTGTCTCCAGCTGCATCTTCAATACAGTGTCGTAGATTTGGCGAGACTCCTTGCTGAATTTGCCGGAAATGGGGAACGTACGGGTCTAGTCAGTGTTAGTCGCGCGTATATATATGCACTGCGATGCTAGACACTTTACTCACAATGTCAGATGCGTAGCAGTTCCATTCCGTGCCAGCATCCAGGAGAAGGTTCAGCTTTCCTTCCAGAGGCGCATCGTTGGCGACGTAGTGCAGAGTGGCAGCTGCGCGACCTCCAGCGAAGATGCCGTGGTACGCCTGGTTCTTGGCACCGTTCGCGACGCTGTGCTGCAGGAACAATGCCTCCAATTCTCTCTCGTTCTTGGCATTCTTGACAGCCTTGACCACGGCATGGTGGCCAATTGTCGAGACACCGTTGGCCTTTCTGGTAAGGGCAACCTCGTAGTCGTCCTTGACCACACGGCAGCGCTCAATGGCATCCTTGAGAACGCTAAAGTTCTTGTCATCGAACTCGAGGAAAGTGATGTTGTCGAGAACCTGGTCTTGGATCGCAAAGACGGTGGTTTTGGAGCCCTTGCCCAGTCGCGCAAGTTCGGCATTGACGTCTGTGGTGTACTTTACATCGTCGATATCGTACAGCTCCTTGGCCTCGGCGGCGCTGACGGGCAGACCAGACCAGATGACACTATCGGGGTCGATAGGGGGGATGAAGAGGGTCGACTTGTTTGTCGCAAGATCGAAAACGTAGTGGCAGTCGGCGAGGGGGCAGCCGGTCAGGTAGTAGAAGTAGCGGCGCTGTCTTTGCGATGGGTGTCAGGCATGGTTGAACAGATAGGTGACGATGGGCCAAATGATAAATGAGAGGCTAGAGATGATACCTAAAGGGCTCGGGCTCGTCATTGTCCTCGAGCATCTTGGTCATGCGGCCCTCGACATAGAGAACGCCAGAGGCATTGGGGACCTTGGACTTGACGTAGTCGGCGACACGGAGGGCATGCTCTTTGGCGGGGTACTTGCCCTTGAGCACCGTCTCGTAGTCTTGAGCCATGGTGGCGCTAGGTGTGTCGGAGAAGAGCCGCGCTGGTGACGTCTGGAAGATGGTTGCTTTGCGATGCGACGGGGAAGCTTGCCGCGATCTGCCAAGGCGTCTGGATGCCGCGGCAGTTGATAGCTGTTGGATTCGGAGTTGACCGATGAGGCTCCTTGCTGCTTGTAGTGGTGGTAGTGGTAGTGTTGGTGGTACAAACTTGGGGCAGAGAGCAAGAATGTTGCGTGCTGGCCGAGTAGATGTTCTGGTCAACATGGAAGGAGTCCGGCCGGCCGTCACACCCGACGATTCTGCCTTTGTGGAGGGGTCAGGACTCGGGACTCTAGAAATCAGACGAAGGAGGGGCACTGAGCAGTCAGCAGCACTGTAAGCCGAGTTTAGGCGCAAAAGTAAGGTGAGGTGAGGTGCTGAGAAGCGGGACAACGATGGCTGTAAGGCACCTTAGTGACGAATCAGAGCTCTTAGACGCGTCGGATGAGGAAGCTGGTTTGCACCAACGGGCCCTGAACGGGGTCGAATCTCTCGAAAGCTTGACGCCTTTCCCACCACGGCGGACGAGAGCAACAGTGCAATCTCGAGACTTGATTTACGTAATCACACGGTGCTCGATCGTCTCCATAATTTCCTCGGCACATTATGTAAGGTGAGCCGAATTGATGCGATACTGGCGACATCTGGTCAGAAGGCCGTCGACAGCTGTCAGCAAAAGTACATCGATACCTCTATGATGGATGCTCGGGAGAAGAAGGCGCGAGACGGGAGGTTCACGATACCTCACTACCTACCTTCCCACCTTCCTTCGCTACCTTACTACCTCAGGCCATTCGTTCCATTTGTTTCCCCAACTCCAACTCAACTTCTGACGTACAAACTTCGAGCTTCTCCAAGACTCCAACCCGCCCTCCACCTGTTCACATGTCACATACGCAGTATCCATGGATGTCTAGTGCCCGCATCCACAACCCGTCCACGATTGTCCTCTTTCATCCGTTTTTGGTTTCCCTCGTGGCACCGGAACCCCTTCATTGGAACCCCTTCGCCGAGGCGGCTCAACAAGAAAGCAACGACGATGCAGCTACAGCTACCATCGTGTGCAGACGCAGCGTCCCTCCGAATTTCGATGCACATGGATTGCCGTTGACGTTTCATGGGACATTGCATGGCGGATTACACATAGAGAGGCACTGGAAGCTCCCAGATCTACTTGTAGACATCCACGCCCCAAGCAACAT